GATAAAAAGCTATTTTACTACAGACTGTTTTAGAAAAACCTATTCAAAATATCATGAATTGCTCATGTACATAAATTTCGATAATTTGTTAAATTGTTGAGACAACTTAAATACAAATTCTTTCATTGCATTCAAATAATTCCTATGGAGCTGATGAGCTATTAGTCACCACTACGTTCAATGCTATGCACTGATCAATGCACAAAAGTTGAGACAGGTTAATTGGTAGTAGAGTACTATCAATCAAAATAATGGTTTGACCCACGTAGCTTTATGTCATCTCACGGTTTAATATTGCTTGATAGCAATCTACTGCAAATTAACCTGATTGCAGCAAAATGTCTCAATCASAATGCAGCAATGAAACCAGCAATAGACAAGATTACAGCAAATTCTTTTTGAGGAGGCAAATGGGGAAGTTATAGAAAAACAGAGTATATTGCTTGTCACTACCACAAGTACGGCAGTGGGTGTGGCACAGCTTAATGGAATGAGACTGAAAGCAAACTCTAACAAGTCAAGAGCATGAAGTGCAGCTTGGATATTATTGCTGAAACCCCAGTCAAACTCAGGACAAAGCAGCCTTCACTCTCAGTGGGTTTAACCAAAGAAAAGCACCTCCAAAGGCAACAGGGRAAAAAATACTCAGTTACTTAGCAGTTTTCTCACTGAAGCTTCATTTGGAGGACAAATTCATCTGTATTGTCCTCTATTTCTGGGCTTTTGCCAAGCCACTATGAATAACTATAAATTTTTAAAATCTTGAATATTCCTATTCCTCCTTGAAAAATAGTTCTATTAATTCCAAATTTATCCCAAAATGATAGCACTGACATAGACCCTAACCCTTAGATGACATTTTCGTACCTAAACTACCACAATCCATTTAAAAAATCTTTTTTTCATATTCAAATGTTAAAATGTTGAGAATACCAAGTCAATTCTACAAAAAAAATCTACAAAGCTTTTCGCTGTCATATCACAGCGTGGGACAATCACAACAGAGCTAGGCTCCAAATTAAGTGAAAGCCTAAAGATCGAATTAGAATTTAGAAGTTGATTTTTGAGGAGGGAGGAAAACCCGAGGACCCAGAGAAAAACCCTCGAAGCACAGGAGAGAACCAACAAACAACTCTACAATTTGTGAAAATTAGCATAGCCATAAAGGCAACCAAAAAGGATTCTGGAAGTTTAGGTGAAAAACATCATGGTTGAGGTTTATCATTCAGCGTTTTTACATTTGGAGCTTGGATTATAAGTTAGTAGATTTATGGGGGTGTAGTAAAGCGTTATTTGTACCAGGACGGCCAATGGATACACCTACCAGTTTGGTTTTATCTGATGCCAGGTTCATGGTCTTAGCCTCACTTATTTGGAGCTGCTTTTGGAGCTCTGAAAACATAAAAGATTTTTTTAAAAACTGTAATGGCTGCAATTGTGCTAGTTCTAGACAATGATTTACTATGAGTTAGTGTTGATGCTGATGATTATAACTCTTGATAGAAAAAGAAATATTGAAACTATGAGCCCAATGGTAAGCTAGTTACAATGCTGTAAATTAATAAATCTTTATAGAAATACACTCTTGGTATCTTTAATAAACATTGATACTAATGGATATGCAGAGGAGAAAAAAGGTGCTTGTCCAAAGTGTGGATAGCAGTATTCATGTTAATGTAGGTCGCATCATGGTTGGTTGGGAGGGTCATCATGATGCTAACGTTTCCATTAGAAGAGAGAAAATACAACAAATGACTAGGAGCGGTTCATTTTATRCTGCGCAGTGCATTCTGAAATCTCATTGTAGTGCAAATTATTCATCTTTATTTCCAAYATGTAGAATAGAAGAAACAAATATTGAAACTTTGAGCCCAATCACGGTGATAGTTGTATATAATTTTATAATACTACGCACAGATGCATGATTTGTTTATCCACAAGAAATGGTGATTAAAATTTTTGATGATGACAATGATAATTAACCAAACAAAAATTTAGTTCTCAGAGGTTAAATTCTGTCGATTTTTTAGGTTTTGGTTGAGGTTTTGTACCATCATGTGATGACAGCCATTTTTGATGGCAGAAACAATATAACCGTTTTATATAAGAAAGAATTCAGTTCCTGAGAGCAAAAGTATTTTATAGTTCTGCCAACTAACCACAGGCAGCCCAAGCCATATTATGGGCGTGTGCAGTGATGGCACAAAACCTCATTTGGAAAAAGGTCTGCTGATGATAATGATCTGTGATAATGTTGACCTGTGTATYATTACCTAATGTGGCTGACTTGATCTGCTTCAGCTCATCTGACATGGAATCAAATTCATTTTCTTTGCTTATCAACTTGGCTGTGAGGTCTAGAAATAAAGAAACAGCTTCATTTATTTGGATATTGTGTCATTTACTAACAAAAACAGGGTACCTCATTGAAGTTCATACTGTGCCTGAGGTCTTGAATATACAGGCTAAGGACGTTACAGCAAGGTCACCAAGTTCAGTTTCAAGACCAAGGACACAGTTTTTTCCCTATCTGGACTGACTTTAGGTCAATAAATAACATATTAATTTTYCCCCCATTATTTTACTTGGATGTAGTAAGCCTTATGTCAGGATACCAGACCGTGGGCAGACATAGAACATATCATCCRCTCAAACAGCCAATAAAATTGCATGATTTTTAGAATACCRGATACCGGACAGGAAAAAAATAAGAAACAATATCTACAATATGACTCTAGTCATGATCCTTACCTTCAATTTGTAATTTAAGAGAATCATTTTCCTCCATGGCAATTTTTAGYTCATATTTCTGAAAAACATAGTAAGCAAAATTTAAAATGTTAATCATTATCTGATGCTAAATCCCAATTTCATCCATGAGAGCATAGCTGAGRTTGTTTCAGGGTTCGATCTGTGAGTTAGCTGTGYCCTSAATTTGATTAGCCCMGAGGTTGTTTCAGGGGTGCCAYGACTTTTGTTAGCCCAGAGGTTGATACAGGGTTCGACCTGAACYCGGTTGTACAAAGGGTGGATAGCACTATCAGACRGATAATTCTTATCCAGTGAATAARTCTATTGGATAACAGCATTGACTTATCCACTGGATAAGGATTTACCCCTTGAATAGCRCTATCCACCCTTCGTACAACTGGGCCCTGTGAGTTAGCCATGCCCTAACTTAGATCATCTCAGAAGTGGTTTCAGGGTGTTGATAAAATGTGAAAACTTATTGCAGGAACTTACAGTGTTTTCTATTCTTGTCTGGTAYTGTTTCTCCCTTTCATTACTAAGGCTCAACTCCTTCTCTAACTTTTTGATTCTTTCCAGCTGTTCTTTCATGCCCTGTGATGCCTCACTTGAAACAGCAGAGTGYTTTTCTTCAACAGAGAATATTTTTGCTTCTAATTCTTGGACTTTCATTTGAGATTYTTCAAAAGAAGCTTTGAGTGCCGACAGCTGTTGGTTGGACTCCAAGAGTTTGTGCTCCTTTTCTTGCAACTTCATGGTTGTACTTGATTTTTCCACCTAAATAGAATGAGAAAAATCGATGTCTCTTTACACCAAAAAAAATTCCTGCAGTAGTTGATGTTTTTCTAAGGTTTTTTGAGCATCGTACCTTGGTTTGCTCCAATTGTTCAGTTAGTTTTTTCATTTCATCTTGCTTTTCTTGGAGATCTTGTGTTAGGGTCTTGATTTGTTCCTCTTCAGTCTAGATTAAAAACAAAAAAAAAAACACTCTTAATATTGAAATCCCTGTCTTCGTTCATTTACATTCATTCATTCATTCACTCATTCTTTCATTCATTCATTCATTAAGTCAGTCAGTCAGTCAGTCAGTCAGTCAGTCAGTCGGTCAGTCGGTCAGTCAGTCAGTCAGTCAGTCAGTCGGTCAGTACCTCTGTTTTGTACTGATTTAGTCATTACCTTCAATTCATCTCCAAGAGTAATTTCTTCTTCTTCAAGTTTAAACTGAAGATCTTCATTTTTCCTTAAATATTGATAAATAATTTGCTTAAATTTTCGGTTACCTGATGTTAGTATAAATACAGTGTAGGTTTATCTTTTATGAAAAATATACAATGTCATATGACATTAATTTGGCCATAAAAGGAGATGGATGGATGAATGAGAAGGAGAGAAAGAGAAGGATAGGCAGTGAAAGGGATGAAAAATTGAGAAAGGTGTACAAATGGATGGACATAGAGACTAGCTGACCAGATTGGTAAATGATATAAATATTATTATGTAAAAGGAAAAAATGGAAGAAACAAATGGATGCAATGATTTACCTTTTCTCATCCTCTATTTGCAAGTAAAGGTCAGCTTTCTCCTTTTCTGCTAAATCAACCAAATTCTTCAGTTCTTGGATACTTTTTGCATTGTCTGCTGCAGCTTGCTCATGTTTTTTCTTAATGTTAGCCAACTCCTCCTCTGCCTATTCATATAACCATGAGATCAATATCTTAGAAGTGTCCTAAGGAGTTAATTATTAAGTTCCTAAGGTTCCAAAAAAGTAAGAATACTGTAAGCAAAAGCCAAGAGCATGTATGGAAAGGAAATCCAGAAGCTCTTGGTTGAAAATCAAGTTTTTTTGCTGCAAAAAAAAAAGGCAACCAAGTTCTGAACTTCTGCAGGAAGTTGAGAAGTTCATAACATGCTTCCTTTCAAAGTTCCGAAGCTGTTCACCAATTTGGCAACATTATTATTTCTGAACATTGTTTGGAACCCGAAAGTGTAAAGGAATGTGAATCTGATGGTAAAAATGAGCTAAAATTCTAGATTTTGCTTCCTAAAATTAAATTTTCTATTATCAAAGGAAGTAACTTTTGTGAGTCGTTTTTACAAAAGGTAAAGGTAATTTGTTTTACTTCGATAACGCGGGGAGTGGTTGCCCAAATCTCTCGAGGCAGGGGCTCATGTTTAATGTGCTCGAAGGTGCGCCCTCCACCCCCTCTAACTATCAGTGCTCCTTTTTACGGGTATTTAAAGCTAATTAAAGCTACACAGAACAGAGAGAAGTCGAAATACATTGAAAAGATGTATTAATATTGAAACAAATCAAACAAAGAATCCTATTTACAAGGATGAATGACTTGTGGTCTAAAATGGGAAAATATTACCCACAATAAATTGGTCTATTAATTGCTGTTTATATGGTTCTCCACACCAACTTCTCTTTTTATTTAATTAATATTTACCTTTGAAACTTGGCTTGTTGCACTAGCCACTTCATTCCTTTCAAAATCTCTTTCTTCAAGTAAAGCTTGAATTTGCATTTCTCTTTCCTGAAGTGCTTCCTTTAAAGAAAAAAATTTTTTTTAAATGTAATAAGATGTTAAAAACAAAGGAGATGACCTCTTCAAACTATTCAAATGTTGAAACCACCTCTGGTTAACTAACAGACCTTGGAATTTGGTGTCTTAGGTTTTGTGGAGGGAGTAAAATCAGAGAACTCAAATAAAAACCTTCAAATCAAAGGAGAGATACAACAAACCCTGAATGAGATGAGATGCCGAGTTCAGGAATGTATTCCAAGACCCCATACATGAAAGGCAGGTACCACTACCACTACACCATAAAATTAAAACTTCCATCAAAATTTACCTGTAAAGCTAACAACTGTAAACTAACATGAGCTGGGGCTTTCCCAGGTGAAACATCAGGTTGATCTTGACTTTCAACCTACRAAATATGATTGCAATACAAGTCATAAGTAAGAACACCATTCTTGAATGGACTTGGGGTTTGGTTGGCAAGAGGCACGCCCTCTCACTCCTAGTCCGTCCATCTGGTAAGTCGAGCTTTAGTACAAACAAATACATCCATCTAAAGCATATTTAAAGCAGAATAAAATGCTGAATGGTTAAGGTAACAAAGAACATGTTTAATCAAATTGGACACCAAATTCCACAATTCCAAAACCAAGTAAAATCCAGTGTTTTTTCCTTCTGACGATCCATAATAAACTAACTCAAACAGTTTATAAAGTTCAATTGGAAGAAACCAAAAACCCAAATCTATGAAATTTTGTCTTGTGTAACAATGTGTGAAACATTACTGTTCAGAGCAAGAAATAGTGACCRGGCAATGACTGGCCAAAATTGGCACTTGTCTACATGGCCAAAGACCTCTTAGCCCAGTCTTCTTGAATGGTCACATTAACTGGTCACATGTTATCAGTCTGATATTGCCTGCCATCACGGTCTGGCTATTGAGCAGTCATTATTTTTAGCCTTGACCATTGTCTTAACAAATTGCTCTGGCATGAAACACCATCATCATGACACAGCATTTCCACATTTATAACAAGTTTTTTACAGTCATATAATATAAGAAATCTGCCAGTATTATAATTTAAATAATTTAAATAATAATTTAAATAATTTAAGATACATCAGTAAAAACACAAACACACCTCTCTTTTCTGTCCACCTGCAGTCGATGTAGACGAGCTRCTGAGAGATAATGAAGTCGATTCAGGAGATACAACAAATTTATCAGTCTTGGCTTGACCTTGAGGTGTTTCATTTACAGAGTTCAATACAGATTCTTGAAGCTGAGGAGGGATTGATAATGGTTGTTCTTTTTGAGTTGGCGGTGGTGAACAAGGAAGTTTTGTAGATTCTTTTTTCCCAGTTTTGATAACTTTATGAATTGGTGCAAAGAGACCAAAATCTTGCTCGCACTGGAAGTACCTAGAACATAAAAACAGGATTATAATGGGGGCTTACATCATGATAGCAATGTCCAATAGCATGACTACTATTACTATATTGTAAGTTAATATATTACAGGCTTAGTTTTTAATATTACTGGAATTCAATATTGCATGTTGCCCATTTGAAACTGGTTTTTCATTGCCGCAAAAAATRTATAAGGTACTGGTGGACTATTTTTGATCGATGGCAGGGAAAGTTAAATTTCAGCATCAGYTCACAGATATTGCATATTATCAAACTCATTAATAATTCATGAGGAAAACACAACAGAAATCACGACTGTGAAGAGTGTTGTAAATCTGATACAAAACTGTGTTCATTTGCATAAACTTTAAGTTGGATTTTCTTGGCCAAATTCACTTTAATTTTGAAAATTTTAGTGAAACACAAAGGAACTAACCTAGACGTTTGATAAGTTATATACAGTATTCGTGGCCGATGCCTCCTGGTTGTATATCTGATACAACACGGCCACTCATACTGTATATATTACTTAAACACTACAATAACAATACACTGTAGAAAGTATAAAGATAAAGAAAAGCACAAATATGACTAAAATGAAAATGAATTTGACATGACCAGGCCCTTTTGAACGAAGGGTGGATAGTGCCATCCAACAGACAAATCCTTATCSAGTGGATAAGTCAATGATGTTATCCAATAAAATTTGGCCACTGGATAAGATTTATCCGTTGGATAGTTCTATCCAACCTTCATACAACCAGGCCGTGATTTGCATGAAGGATTAAGCATAAATATGATTGTCTAATCTCTYGTAATTACAGAGCCAGTGATCCAATATCTCATTCAGAATTTTTAATAGAACGGAAGGATCAAATCAAAACCTTGTACCGAAATTTCAATTTTAATTTCACGAAAATAAACAACTCACATAAATAATGAATGAATGACATTAGTACAGCTGACTTAATACTTTGTAATATAATACCAATATTTATTGGTTGTGTCCATCCATTAGCRATGTGTTGAAGCTATTGTATTCATATTTAAATGTAGGGTTATATTATTAGACTAATAATCCAGAAGTGACGGGTTTAATTATCTTAATCATCAAAAGAAAATATGCAGCAAATTGCAAATATTAGGTCAATAATGCTGAGGTATCTTCCTAAATGATTCTTCGTCTAGATTCAAGTATCCATGGGATACCAAGATTTTTCTACAAAAATCTAGGCGTTTCTCTCGTTCTTTCAGATTTTCTTTCGGATAATATTCAATAATAACCTATTACTCTGCGATATGCAATCAGACTTGTACTGTAAATAATTTAGATGAAGGCCAACTTGAGCATTGTTTATACAGCACACATTGGACGATGATAATATTTCGTCTTTCCAAAATTATTATAATAGAGAGCAGGATTCTGGTTTAAAACAAAAAATACAAGTATCTATAAATAAATTTTAAGTAACGAGTAAAATAAATAATGAGTACAAATCGGTTTATATGCTAAAAAATTTGATTCCCTTCGAAAGCTTTGGGAGAAAGATTATGAATTAAAAAAACCAGCATGATTTGAATAAACTATAAGAATATTTAATATTGATAATCTGGGTCGACACATCAGTGTTTATATAATACCCAACTTCTTATCTCGGCTAGATATTTGTACTAGTATGTAAACAATAGGACATTTCAATGAACCCTACCTTGTTCCAGCCACTGCTCCGTCGTTTTTTCCTAGGGGTTCATCGAGTTCTACTCCAGCCCATTCACCYTTTGCGAATCCAGTAGTTCCCGCATATCTAACGGTTCCAATCTTAGTCCCACTAACAACCACTCTATCTCCTATCTCTAAAGCAGTCGTTGAATCATCGTTGTGATGAGTGACATTGACTTTATTGATTTTGGTAATTTTTTCGAGCTTAGTGAACACGCCGTGTAGCGGTTGGCACTCAAAGTATCTAACACCAGCGACCGAGCCATCATTTTTCCCCGTTGGTTCGTCAAGAATGATTCCAGCCCAATCACCTTTAGCGAATTTAGTCTCTCCAATAAACCCAATAACTCCTGTTTTAGTTCCACTCACTAACACACGATCACCAATTTTGAAGAACTTTTTTAAATCCGCCGCCGGAGTAGCCCCTTGTTGACTCGAAGACGAACTYGAACTCCGTCTTCGAACAACCGATTCGGATGATTCAGAACCTGTACTCCGTAAACTTGAACTAGATCCTTCCCTTCGGTATGATAGACGGGTTTCTGAGTTTTCTCTTGAAAGTTTGGGCAGAAGTTGTTGACTCGACGTGGCATGAACCGAACCTCGAGGACTAGCTATGCCACCAACATTATTAACTGACCCCCTAGGCCTCACTACACCGCTCCCTGTAGTAGATTTACCAGCAGAAGGCGTCGTTTTAACGGCTCCTGGAGTTGATAATGGTCTCKGTGCTGGATTTCCTCTAGGTTTTACTATTCCAGTCGGTGAAGTAGCCGAYCCGCCGCCTCCTTGTATTGGTTTGTGAACTTTAGTCGGTGGTTTTAGCCCCGTCTTTACTTGTGGTATGTGACTCATTTTATTTTCACAACTAAATTAATAGAGACTCGGATATATATTCTGTTGAAAACGTACCATTCAGCTTTAAAGAAAGTTCTTTAGCTTGTAAAAGAAGGTGGTAAAATTGTACAGAACTTCGTCATCCTTCGCCTTGCAACCCTCGCAATCCAATATGGCGTCTAACTAGGTTCCAGGCTCTTAYGTCATTTCCAAGTTTGGATGGCGAAAGTTCCAGTTACTCTAATTATTTATACTTGACAAACTTTACATACCAATATAATTTCCTTTGAATTTTTCTATATAGTAAGATGAAGTTAGGGTGTACATTCAAGTGAAGTATTTTAATATTTTTTATGTGCAGGGCATTGGGAAGGATTAAGGAAGTGGGCTCTGATCTGCCTGGCAATGACTAAATTTCAGCCCCCTCCCCCACCCACAAATCTTAATATTAATTACATTTCCTTTCTAGCTCTCTTGAATTAAGAATTGCATGAATATCATTATATGTGAGGGAAATTGAACTTACCAGTAGTTCCCATTAAATAATTTGCAAACATCAAACTGGTCTCTTTTTTAAAACCAACTTTCATGATTAAGATCTGAATTTCCAGAGACAAAACTGCCTCATTTCCAAATCACACTCACCATCATGTTAAAAAAAATTGTGATATATATTTTACATTTTAGTAACTTCTTTAATTAGCATAGTTTTATATACTATTTATCAATTTAGGGCCCCTATTGAGGGACAACAGTGTGCCACTCACACTTAAAGATTACCTTGTGGAAATGAAGGCCTGTTTACACAGGCGATTTTTGTGGCAATAGACCATTTTCAAGTTCCAAATTACCACTGTGTTCCTTGAACACAGACTCATTTACTCAGGGTTAGCTTAAGGGTTAGGTTAAAAGGATCTGTTATCAAGGAACACAGTGGTAATTTGGAACTCAAAAATGGTCTATTTTTTGCAAACAAATTTTATCTTATACCTCAAATCTTTGCAAGATTCACCTGCGTAAAAGGGGCCTTCAAGGTTATTATCACAACAAACATAGATTCAAGGGGTCATTTATTACTATTTTTTAATTCAAAAGAAGCACAAAATGGATACAGTTTCTTTGTATTTACAACTGTAAAATAAAATCATACCATGGAGTGAAATTGATTCTAATATAATAATGTAATGTCTATTTCTAAAGAGAATTTCTATTCAATGTTTTACCCATAAATGTGCATATAAAACACTAGTTACATTATGGTAAGAAAAAAAGAAAGAGTGAATATCATACACCTGTTTCAATAAACAATGTCATCGCCAAAGGTAATAGGCAATAGGCAAAAAACAATTGATGGTTTTCATGGCGGCCATGTTGGAGGAACTTAAAAGAATTGTCAATGAATTCTTTTCTTATATCCTCCAACATGGCCGCCATGTCTTTTGTTATTTAATTCTCTTGGGAAAGGTTGAAAACCATCAATAGAATGACTTTGGTTTCTGATTCTTATTCTCGTCAAGAGACTGATTCAATGTTGTTTCTACTCAACGAAACCATTTCCATGTCAGAATAACCTTTGTCGATGGCAACGTTTATTGAAATAGGTGTAATATTGTGCAGTTCGACCTCTGTTATATTGGTGTTTTGAATAGTGCACAATTATTACTATGAATAAAGGATCACRCTRGAGMTAAGGCATCGTACTTCTCTGGGCATAATAAACTACTCATATCATTTGAGAAATTTCAAGAAAGATTAATAATACAATCACCAAAGAGAATTCCATAAGGATATAAACTAGTTAGTTATGATAGTATTCAATTACTTCACACCATTTTGTTGTTGCTTGTTAAGTTAGAATTAGTGTAAGGCTAGAGTAGTCTATTTGGGTCTTGATTCACCATGTTTCTTTGTAAAATCTTCAGCATTTTTCATAAACTTCTTCCTGTCTTTGGTGTATTCTTCTGCAAGATCTCCACGCAGTGGATGCTCTGGTTCAGGGTTTTGAACTAATGCAACTAAAGCTTGAATTACTAAAAAGAGAAACCAAAATAAGAAGAATTAGCTACAAATGCTTTGAACATCCTTCAAACATAACTTTGTACTACTACTCTGTCAAATGTGCACATTGCAGTACAAAAAAAATCACAAGTATTTCAACCACATCCATATTTATCATATATTCCATATATCATATATTAACTGTTTGAGTTTGAAACCAAAATAAGAATAATTAGCTACAAATGCTTTGAACATCCTTCAAACACAACTTTGTACTACTACCCTGTCAAATGCACACAATGCAGTACAAAAAATATCACAAATATTTCAACCACATCCATATATTAACCTATTAGTAAAAATACACAGGTGGTTATAGAAAATCTTGCGCACTGATTGGTCAAGAAACTCACGCTATCACACGATAATCACCTCGAGCGAAAATCCAAAATGGCGGCCAGCCRCTTTGTTGTTGTTACCGGGAAAAAAATGCCTTTTATCTTCTTTTTTTTTCTTTTTTTGAAAGAATCACCTATGTATTTATACTAAAACAATTATTTGCCTCAGGCTCAGTGATTATTGGGGAATATTTACCTCACCGCTCGAAGACTCGCATCTCGGTAAATATTCCCCGATAATCACTKMGCCTTCGGCGAATAATCGTTAAATATTAACTGTTTGAGTTACATAACTTTGTACTACTACCCTGTACTTTGTACTACTACCCTGTCAAATGTACACAATGCAATACAAAAAAGTATTTCACCCACATCCATATATCATATATTAACTAATGTTGACTGTTTGAGTGTGGACCAGGGAGCAAAATAGAAAGGTATTGTGCAAAAATATGTGTGGATATAGCAGGGCTGTAGCAGCTCAGTAGCTGGTCATGAAAACTTGCCTAAATAGTTTTAGCTCAGTTACACCTTGTTTCTGACTAATGTCACTGGTCAAAATGACCAGCAAGACAAAGAATTGACTGGACAAGTTCCAATTCTGGTCAGACATTGTCTGATGACTGGACAAGTTCCAATGCTGGTCAGACATTGTCTGATGACTGGACAAGTTCCAATTCTGGTCAGACATTGTCTGATGACTGGCAGTTATTTTCCCTGACATTGAGCAAAAGAAATTAACTCCTGAACCAATAAGCCTTTTCATAGTTTAAGAATCGATTCCACTGCRCATGCGATTTTATCCCGAATTTTTCACCTTCTTTTGTTTAATTAAGAACAAAAGAAGGTTTAGACAAAAGAAGGTGAGAAATTCGGGATAAAATCGCATGCACAGTGGAATCGATTCTTAAACTATGAAAAGGCTTATTAATAAATTCATTTTCCCACATCATTGAAATTTACTGTAGTTTTAACAATAATGGTGTCATACCTTGATCAGTTCTTGTAGCTGGTTTCCAGTTCTCAGGACTAATAATCGGCAAACACACTTGTCCTTTTTCATCAATATTTGGGTGGTAGATCTTAGTCTTAAATGTAATCTTAAAACAAGAAATGAAAAAAAAAAAWAATCAAATATAATTTCTAACTAAGAGTTTTAAAGATGCATAATATTATTTTATGAATGAGAAAGTCTATCCTCCAAGAGGGTGTGGATTAGTGTAGGGAGCCACCATATAAATTCTCCATACAATTACTCCCGCACTCCTTTAAAATGTGCTAGTTTAGTAATGGCTAGGATAAGGGATTGGCCTTTAGTTAGATATATAGCCATATTATGCTCAAACTGCTATGCATTTCTTGTTAATTTTTTGGGGGACTGACACACACTAAGGAACCAGAAACAACATACACGTATGTAAGGTGGCGCCCCTTTCACAGAAGTCAGGATTTTTGTCTTGAGAACACAGGCACCTGCACAATCCAGGTCCCTGGATGATCTGAGGCAAAAAAACAGATATCTCAGAGTTTATCTGGTTCATTGAATTGTGCAGGTGCGTAAATGCATTGTTTCCCTAATCATATTTTTGAAAAAGAATAGCCAAGTCATCATCATTTTGCCCCTTTTCAGAGTACTAGCATCCTTGGGAAGCTTCTGTCTGCAGCAATGTCATGTAAGGGCTGATTTGTCCATCATAGTTCTTCTAATTTGGGTGGAGTTCATTTTTAGAATTCCTCCAAACTTATTCAAGAATCTCCTCGGGACTTAATCAAAGCACATACCTTAGGAGGCTTAAATGGGTATTCTGCTGGAAATATAATTTCAATCCTGAAAGCACCTTTGTTATATGGTGAACTTTCCTAAAATAATGGTAAAAATTGATGTAAATAATAAACTTCATCCTCAGGTAAAAAATATCCTGATAGGTTTCTTTAACTAAAATAATAAAATTGTTACTACAAGACATGCATTACAATGGCAAGTTAACCACACCAGTGATTTCCATAGTAACAGTAGCCTCACATGCTGTTTTTTGTTCAACAGTTTGTCAATCTTGTGCCATAATAATAAATGTACTGTAAATGCTTCATAGACATACAGAATATACTCTATGAAAAGGTACCATACTTGCTCRAGCATGAGGTGCATCTCACTTATAAGGGGCACCCCCCATAATTCTCAAAGATTAAAAAAGGTATACCTTATATGTGAGGAAAGCAAGTATCAACAAGACAATTTTGTACAATTTTGTACAATTATCTTTGAACAGAACACTTGACATTAAAAGTTCAAATAACTATTTCCCCGATTTAAAAAAAAACAAATATACTTTAATACTGATTGAGTCTGAAGGTATACTTGTAAGTATTCAAAGGGCTTGTTTTCAAGATTCCCGAATAATGCCCCTCTTTTTTAATATGTGCATGAAGAAGATTTAAGATCTGTTCTGTTTGAAAAAGGAAGTAGCTTACTTACCGGCACAATCAAGCCTTGCCAGTTTAATATATTACTTTCATCGACTTCGAGGCTTTGGAATATCTTCGATTTACTCGCCCTAATATCAACAAGTTCCTGGAGACATAAAAAGTACGCAAATTCAGTTGGATATTTCACAACCAATGTAGAAAAAAAGAATTTCATACTTCAGCAAAATATTCCCGTCTCTTATTTTTATAGAAAAATAGATTTTTATAGAAATATAGTTAGATGGCTAGCAGCCTGATGACCGATTTAACCGTTATCTCTCTTACTTAAGTTCTAACTTATGAATGAAAGTGGAAAACAATTGAAAGAAAGATTTATCAGTATCCAACTGAGGCCGGCAAAACGTGCCTTCGAAAAAGTTCCCTATCTTACGACCAATTGTTCTCCTTTATGTATACATCCCCAAAGCCTTTCAATTAAAATATAGTTTCTACAAATATTAAACAAGACTCTTGAAGCTTTTGATATTTTTGGGACGTTTATGACTCCAGGAAAAAAGGGAAAATTTAAGAGTTACCTTTGTCAATCTCCTAGTGGCAGCCATTTTGGGTAAAAAATACTTAGAATACCCGGTGGGCTTTGCGGGCAATTGATGATTATCCGCCCTTGTTACCAGTCCATCACYAACGTCAGTATTGCTCATGTTTGATGATGAAACGATGATGACGTAATCCTTGGTCACGTTTCTTGAAATATTTAATGCACCTCAAAAGATATTTCTTATTCATTTTTATTAACGAAATATCATAATGGTGCAAACACTTTATCTGTAAAACAGATAAAAATGGGAATGAGATTGAGATTTTAGCAAAACATGGGCTGGGACTATGGGGTTTGGTCAAAATGGGGCCCAAGGAGGGGTACTCTTGCCCGCTTAGGGTAGGGATGTGCTGCTGAGCCCACTGAACCCTGACCCTATTCCAGAGTAAAATCGCTGAAATTCATACCCTGTTCCAGAGCAAGATCACTGAAAATCATACCCTGTTCTGGCATTGTGAAAATGGATACCCTGTTCCAGAGAGGAGAGAGCGTGATTTCATATAACCTGTCCCAGAGAGAGCATGATTTTATTACCCTGTTTGGCGGCATGTACCCGTATAGCAAATATAGGGGAGTACACCCCGGGAAATGGGGGCTGGAAAATGGTATATATTAGGACCCCCCTTCAGGACCCTATTAATTAGATAAGTTATTTACTATTATAGTTGACCTTATATAAATTGAGAATTCACATGCCAACTGTCTGCAAATCAGGGAGAAAAAATGAAGACGTAATCGACTGTCTCTTCACGCATTCTCTAGGTGACATCAAATAAGTAGTTATCTATTATATAAATTTATCTAACTTTCAACAGTGGAACTAAATGCACTCTACTAAATTATTTATTTACAATAAATAGTAAATTATTATCGGCCTTAAAAAATCAAAAAAGTTCTTGGATTAACTAATACAGTACATGTTATATTTCATTCCTTGAACATCAATGTCATTGAGGTTACAGATATTTTACTCATATATTTTTATATGTTATATTTATTTTCTAATACAACTTTTCTTATCTACATACAATAATTTAGAAGTTAAAATAATTTTTAATAGTCTATTAATTTGTTGACAAATGGATGAATGGATGGTTGAAGTAAAAGGTAGTT